GTACTGAGGGCCGTCTTTTCGCTGTCCAGAGAACCTCTCCAGTTTTTGCTCCTGCTTCTTGCCTCCACATGCCATCCCTCTTGTCTGGTTCCCTAACAGCTGTGCTCCCTTCAGTCTGTGCTCTTAACATACTTTTCTTCCTCATCTGTGGAAAACATACTCCTGTTTTGAGCCAGTGGTTCTCAAACATCAGTGTGCATCAGAATCACTCAGATTCTGATTCGTTAAACCGTAGGTGGGCAGGGCTGCGCTCCTGGAGTTTCTGATGCAGTAGGTCTGCAGGAGGGATGACAAATTTGCATTTCTAACACATTCCCAGGAGATGCTGATCCGGGGGTCACGCCTGGAAGCACTGCTCTGCAGGGCTTCTCCAGTGTTGTGTCTGTAATCATCAAGTGTCTTGTTAAGTGCAGGGCCTAGTTCAGGAGGTCTGGGGTGAATCCTGAGGTTCTGCTTTTATAACAAGCTCCCAGGGTCCCCACTTTGAGCATCATGATTGTGAGGCTCAGCTCAGATTAGCCCTAGTTGTTTTGGGAGGCAGAGGGCCCACTTTCCTTCTTCATGTCGGTGGTTCCCAAACTTGTCTGCACACTGAACTCAGACAACTTGGGAGAACTCCAGTGCTTCCTGGTGCCTGTATCCCATCGCAGAGATTGCGGTTGATCTGATGTATGGCCTGGGCTTTGGGATTTTTAAAGATCCCCAAGTGGCTCTAATAGGTAAACAAGCTGAGGAGCCACTGCTCTAAACACTCAAGGTACCTCCCATGCCTCCATGATATTTTCATTATAGGTCCTCTCTGTTTGCTTATTTTTGTCTTTGCTTTTGTCTAATCTGCCCTGCCAGCTCATTAACCCCCCGAAGGGAGGGATGGAGCCTTTGTTTCCCTCACAGTGTTTTACATGCACTAGTGATTAGTGTTTGTTGAATAAACAAACAAATGACAAAAATCAAAATCAAAATGAATATGTCTAAGACATTACCCAGACCACCGGCCCTCAGTAGAGTAGGATCTCTCAAAAAGCCCTTTATCTAAAGTAATTTGTCTGATTTTTCTCAGAATAGGCTTATAGGAACTGCTTCTCTTTACATGTTCAACTTTCTGACCTTTTGCCTTATGAATTCCATCAAGAAACTTCTCCGATACAGGTTTTATTTTACAGTTGATTTTTTTCACTTGCTACCATGGGCAAGGAATCTTGCCCAATGACTTTGTTCACTTGCACAATGCCGGATCCAGGGACATATGCCTGCCAGCTCCTGGGGCTCTAAAAGCGGGTGCAGGGACCACCCCTAACATGTGCACTGAACCTTTCCCACAGGGGAGCTCCTTTCTTCATATGCACGGGACCTGGAGCATTAGGGTGTGGCCTTCCCGCCCTTGCTGAGGGAGCTCCTCCAGGGGCTTGAAAAGATGGGCTCACTTTTCTTTGCTATCGCATTCTTCCCTTCCAGACCTCTCAGCAGCTGCAAATGTAGCTGAGTCAGCCAAGTGTAGGCAGCTGAAACCCACGTCTCAAGGTCCTGTGTCTTGTGATAGAGTGACCACTTCTGTGGGTTTGTGACAACAAGCATGGTTTCTTACAGTCCAGTGGCTCTATAGTCCCATCTGGAAAGGGCAGAGTTTCTTCTTCACACTGCATTTATTCTCAGAGAGCTAGTAAGTCTTATACTCACCCTCTGTGCTCATGGCGACTGCAGTGAGTTCCAGGTCCTCAGGCTGCTTCCTAATGTTCCGAACAGATTTGTTGGAAGTCCCATCGCTGTACCTAACCCAAGAACGGTGCTGAGGCCCTGCGGCAATGCATGAGTTAGGAGAGAAGTTAGCTGCTCATAACAGAAAACCAAATTCCCACTTAAACAAGTAGGATTTATCTTGTTTTTCCTCATCTAACAAGACTTTGCTAATGCTGCAACTCAAAATACCATTAGGAGCAAGTCCCCTTCTATTTTCTGCTCTACTCTCCTTAATAAGAAGACATTATGGTTTCCTGGTTCCAGAATGAATGCTACAGCTGTGTAGTTCATGTCCTTAATTCTAGACAGAAAGAATAAGGAAGAGGGAGGCATCATTCCTTTCCATAATTTGCAAGAAACTGAGCTGATGTTACAAGGCTCCCCAGGGCTGCAAGAGAGTCACATAAAGAGTATTTTTATTTGGGCATGGGGCCAATTTACCCCTTTGGCATGGTACCTTGAGCCCACCATATTTTTAGAAGCCTAAAAAAATCTTAGTTTCACTTTCTTTTAGAATCCAAAGTAAAAAAGAATGTAATAAATATGAATAATAATAAATCCAGTCTGGATTGTATTTGTCTCCATACCAATGCAGTTGTAAGAGAGTTTTAGTTTTAGTTTTTCAGTGGAGAAGGGGGCCACAAAGGCAACAGCCCCTAAGGACTGTGACAGTTGTATATGGCTCAGATTGGGATGATCACGTTGTATTCCAGACTGGAATGATGCCGCCCCAGCACTGGAATGTCTTTGTTCCCTCACCTTGAAACCAGGCCTCTTAAGATTATGAGCATTAAAAAACCAATACACATGAATGATAAAAATAATTACGCTGTGTCTACCAGATAGATATCAGCCACTAGAAATATCCTTTAGTGTTGGTGAGTTTTTCTGAATGGCCTATGAGAACACGTTTTTCTTTGAAATAAGATGCTGTTGTGCAACATGAAATTTCTTGACATCAGTTTCCGACCCAAGAATCTTAGTAGCTTCAACCTTTGGTTGCCTGTTGTTTATCATTGCCCGGTCTGCAAATTCCTTTTCTTAATGTTTTGCCAGTCAACTGGGTATGGCTTAGACCAGCGACTGCCACAGGGTATATGCTTCCCAATTACCTGTGTACCTGCACAGTCTGCCACCTTGGCCCTTCCCCGGAAGACCATTTAAGGAGGAGTCAGGCTAGTGATTCCTGTATTTTCGTTTGTGGTTACAAAAGAATGGGTTTTTCTTCTCCACAAACATTTGGCTGCCAGCCGCCAGAAGTACCACTTATGAGCCGTTTGGAAGAGCTGCCGGTCCTTCATGGTTTCCGAACGATATTTAAAATGGATCATGTGGTTGAATGCCATTTCTGTTCTCTTAGCGCCTCAAAGTTCCGTGCCCAAAACATTGTACAGAGAGCACCTACCATGTAACCTGTTCCCAAAGAGGAGGCTTTAGTTAACAACACTAATGCTGGGGCGCCTGGGTGGCGCAGTCGGTTGAGCGTCCGACTTCAGCCAGGTCACGATCTCGCGGTCCGTGAGTTCGAGCCCCGCATCGGGCTCTGGGCTGACGGCTCAGAGCCTGGAGCCTGTTTCCGATTCTCTGTCTCCCTCTCTCTCTGCCCCTCCCCCGTTCATGCTCTGTCTCTCCCTGTCCCAAAAATAAATAAACGTTGAAAAAAAAAATTTAAAAAAATAATTAAAAAAAACCAATACTAATGCAGAACCCTAGAAGCAGAGACAGTATCTTTTTCTACTTGGTATCTCCACAGCACAATGTACAGAGTGGCCTCTCTAGTCTCTCACCGAATCCTGGTCCAAATGAATTAAATTACCGACCTAAGAGAAGTTGACCCTAAAACCATTTTACATTTCCAAAACCGATGGAGGATATTAGGTTTTCCTGGGAAAAACAAACTGTCAGTACTTACGATCTTGGCTAAGAGCAATGCCAATAACCAATTAAATATCATTAGCATCATGGTCTCCTAGACAAAAGGGTATCCGTAGAATCAGCTTAAAATGAAAAAAGTAAAGAGAGTAAAGGTTCAAAAGAAAAAAAGCTTTCTGAGAAGCAAGATTAATGGGCAAAATGCTTCACTGTCTAAACCTAGTTTCTTCATCTAGAAAATGGGGTAATATTACCTACTTCAGAGTAGGTTGTGATGAAGATACTCAAGATAATGTTTGTTGGGGTGCCTGGGTGGCTCGGTCGGTGAAGCGTCCAACTTTGGCTCAGGTCATGATCTCATGGTTTGTGAGTTGGAGCCCTGCATCGGGCTCTGTGCTGACCGCTCAGAGCCTGGAGCCTGTTTCAGATTCTGTGCTCCCTCTCTCTCTGACCCTCCCCCGTTCATGCTCTGTCTCTCTCTGTCTCAAAAATAAATAAACGTTAAAAAAATTTTTTTTAAAAATGTTTGTAAAGCAATAATGCCATGTCTGTCACATCGTGAGACCCAGATAGGTGGCGCCTCTATTGTTACTGTTGCTGTTGTTCTTACGGTGCAGTGCAGTTACCAGTCTGGGTCCGGAAATTTATCTATGGTTGTCACCACCGTGGTAGGGGTATTGGGAGATGATAGTTGGGAAAGAAGAATATTAGAAAAGCACGTACTCTTGAGTGAAGTTTCTCCTTACCCTAAATGTTCTTCTTCCGTGCAGAAAGATTTTTTTCTTACTAGTTCACAACTACCAACCACCGTGAAGAAAGTGTTTGAGAAAGCAATAACCAGAGGCATGATTCTTTAGCTCTCTACCAAATCAAGGAATGGAGTCTCTTGCATACCAAAGACGTTTTGTGATCTTTTAAAAGCTAATTTTTAATTAATTAATTTAACGAACCATCTCCTGTGTAACTGCTCCTTTTAGTTACACAACTGTTTACCAGATTTTGAAAAATGAAACACAAGGACTGTGAGGTTGTCTTATTGTGGGTGAGCCCACACTCTGTCAGTGGCAATGGGTGTGTACTCTGGAGGGTGGAGATTTCCCCCTGCCAGCCATCCAGGGCATATTAAAAGTCATTCCTTTGGGGGCGCCTGGGTGGCGCAGTTGGTTAAGCGTCCGACTTCAACCAGGTCACGATCTCACGGTCCGTGAGTTCGAGCCTCGCGTCGGGCTCTGGGCTGATGGCTCAGAGCCTGGAGCCTGTTTCCGATTCTGTGTCTCCCTCTCTCTCTGCCCCTCGCCCGTTCATGCTCTGTCTCTCTCTGTCCCAAAAATAAATAAACGTTGAAAAAAAAAATTTAAAAAAAAAAGTCATTCCTTTATCCTGTCTCCAAGGCGATTCCCTTTTCTTAGGAATGAGATGACGTTGGAGGCCTCAGTGCTGGCTGAAGGAGAACAAGGTCAGTCTTCTTGTGCATAGAGGTACGGTGGTCCCTTCATGGCAGCTCAGGGCCAAGATAACCTATGGAAGAGCCCAGTTGGAAGTCCCTAGGATGGGAGTCTAATAGATATTCTGTCTAGGAGCTAGTTTTGAATCTTTGTGTTTTTTGCATGATTATTGCCTAACAGCTTATACTTTGATAATTCTTTGTTAAACGTTGCTACACAGTCTTAGCTGGTACTTGGAGGAATAGCCAGTATCCATGTGGGAGGATCCAATGTTCCTACTTAGGGAGGAAGCAAGTTAGGAGATGGTAAAAGATGAATGGCTAATAAACAAGGAATGTCATTCAGAGCAAGAAGACTGGCCGAGGGGTACAGGGATCACCAAATTGTTTAATGAAACATGAAAACATTCCTAAGTGAATTCTCAAAAATTTAGTAGGGGAGGTAGGGTGGATAAGAATCTGGTAATACCAGACCTCCACATAACACAGAATGGGATTCTAGACTATCGACGTGTTTGTTTATGGTCATTGTTTTTTTTAAATGAAAGAATTGCCCAAAAAGCTAGAGAGTTTGCCAACATTGGAGTTACATTAGTTTGCTAGGGCTGCCATAACAAAACACTACAGACTGGGTGGCCTAAAGGACAGTTTATTTGCTCCCAATTTTGGATGCTAGAAGTCTGAGATCAAGGTGTGGGCAGGAGTCGTTTCTCCTGAGGCCTCTCTCCTTGGCTTGCAGATGTCTGCCTTCTCCCTGTGTTCTCACATGGCCTTTTTTCTGCACACCAACGTATGTGGTGTCTCCTGCTTTTCTTGTAAATACGTCAGTCCTTTGAATTAGGGCCCAGCCTAATGGCCTCATAATCACTCTCTAAGACCTTGTCTCCAAACGCAGTCCTATTCTGCTGGTGTGCTGGGAGCTAAGGCCTCAATATAGGAATTTGGGAGGGACACAATTCAGGGGTTAATACGTATCTCAAAATGCAATAACATCTAGGTCCTACAGTCTAGAAAAATAAAACAAGGAGATGCAGTTGACATCAGTGTCAGGGTAATAGCCTTCCTCCTCTTTACTCTGATCCCCTCTCTTGTCTGCAAAGCATGGCATCATTTTTAACTGGTGGTTTTTCTGAGAACCCTAGGCTGTGTCCTAAATGCTAATTTTCTAGAAGGTTTTAACAGACAGCTCTCCATCAGGGATCAGTGAAATGGTGTGGTGGAAAGGACCACAGGGCTAAACTCATGAAATGAACAAAGCCTCCGGTCTCCAGGCCCAGCAGTAAGACCTTGGCTAACAGACAAGCTGTGGTGTGCAAATCTGCTTTCTGCATTTGACTTCCCAGCCACCTCTGGGGTGTCCAGTACTTGATTCAAACACACTCAAGACGAAGCACTCAAATGCTTGCTGAACATTTCTTTGGTAGGTTTCCAGAGCTTCATTCTTCTTGTTAATGGTGACAGAGAAAATTACACAAGGTGTCCATGATGTTTGATTTGCTACTTGCCTCACAGTTTACTTCAAAGTTCCCTCAGAGTTTTCTGAATTTTACTTTCTAGAGCAAATATTACTGGCATAGACATCAAGCATGCCCATGCAATTATTCTTAATGGTTGTGGTAAGCAAGTTCTGGATTTTCAGGTCAGGAGCAATCTGTGTTTTAGCAATTAGCAACTAATGGCCATGTAGTAATAAGTTTAGTTGGCACAGGCTTATTTCTCCAATTCCCTGAGTCAACAATGACAATAGCACCAATGAAGTGCAAATATGAGCATGTTCCTGTTGAGTTTCCTCCCTTAGCTCTCATCCTTACCTGGTAATAAAACGTGGCATCGCCCCAGGTTCTCCTTTGGTTTCCATGACTGAAGATGACATCTAAGGAGACTTATCTGATTAATCAAATCATAAAGTTAGACAGGAGCCCAAGAAACTGTTCAGTTAAATCTTCCAGGAAAGCTTCAATGCAACCAAACCATCAGAGTTTTCCAGGGCAGAAAGGGAGTGTTTCCTGTATATTTCGCTGTCAGAAAGGTTTCCTGTGTCAGTCACTCCCTTGCCAGTGTCTGAACTTGAATTAACTCTAACTCCCACCATGTCTCCTGACTGATATCCAGTCTCAGGAAAAGGCCTGGTGTTCCAACATTTTGCCAGAAAATACACAAACTGAACTCTGAACGGTGACCCTGCGTTACCCTTGAAATCTTGATTTCCAGCATTAGTCATGGCCATGTTAGAAGGGCATTTAGCCTATGGCTGATCTAAAAGTTCTTGCTTAATCAATGACTCATATGGTCAATCCCTTGAAATCTGGAGATTAATGCTGGTGGTCATAAGTGTGAATTTCCAGGGAAGCCCTTTGCAATTATTTTGAAGCCCAGTTGTTTTTCTTTCGTGTTAGAAATTTGGCTGTTGCTTATTTTGGGCTATTTGCTTATCACTTTGTTATGTCTTTGTGTTGATGATCAAACCATACTTTGTTATGTTCCTTTCTTTCTGTGGTCTCCCATTTTGCTTTCTTTACATCTTCAACAAAGACCAATATTTTTAAGGATTCCACCCGCCCAAGTGGCAGCTTAGCAATGGTATCAGCCAGTTCTGGTTCTGCAACCCAGCCTGTGCTTTTGGCCAAATGGGAAGTGCAGTTTGTTCTGTGATCTGCTGTTTGCAAAAAAGAAACCACGGCATAGTGACAAGTGGCCAAGGAAGGACTTGGGCTATACAATATTGCATGTTAAAACCCTGGGTTTCTGGGCATAGAAAGTAGAAATGCTTTCAGAGCCATTGGCATAGTTAAACTGTATCCCCCGCCACTGCCACACCTAGCCCAGCTCAGACCCTTATTGTGTAGGTGAGGAAACCGAGTCCCAGAGACATGTGGTAATTTGCCGGAGTTCATGTAGGTCACTGTTGGAAAGTTGTGTCTATAACTTGGATCCCCTGACTTCCAGCTCATTGTTTATGACATTATACTGTGTGGCTGTCAAGGGCTTTTTCACCATCCTTCACCTACAGTGCCACCCTAAACCTCAAAACTGTCCAAGTCAGCTTGCTGCATGCAAAATAAAATAACATGTCTGAGTACATGAGCTGTGCAGCCAAAAAACCTGAGTATAATCTCCTCTCCACTCAAGAATCGTCCATTTCCTCACCAGCCAGCGCTGGTGACTTTGCACCCTCATTCTACAGAGAACAAAAGAATATAAAAACCAAACCATACTACTGGTCTCGTCAAATTCCTTCAGTGTTTCCCTACAGGAGTTCAAACCCCTTGCCTCAGTACTAGAGGCAGCCCTTAGCCTGCCCTAAACCTCCCTACTTCCTTTCTGCTCACTCGCTCCTCACCCTGTTTGTCCCTGTCATTGCTGTATTCTTGCCCTCCCCCCACCCCCACCCCCACTATCCTGTTCCCCTTGACCAAAGTGCCCATCCTATGCTATTCTTCACTGAATTCTAAACCTCAAAGACCCGAATTCTTTTTCCCAGGTTTTGCTCAAGAGGGATCCCTTCCACATCCTCTCTGACATCGTGTAAGCACTCCCTGAACCCAGAGTATATAAGGTCTGGTATTGTCTTTTGTATGCACATCACCCAGGTTTCTCCTTTCTTAAAAGCTCTCATGCTTTTTCATGCCTACTGAACACACCTTGCCTCACCCTTCTTACCTCTGCACCTTTGCCCACACTGTTCTCTTGCTTGGAATTCTATTTCTCATTTTTGCCTACTAGAATCTTATGTGCATATCAAAGTTGAGCTGAAATACTAACCTCCATGAAACGTTCTCTAATATTTTGTATTCTAAGGCTGCTGTAACAAATTACCACAAACTTAGTGGCTTAAAACAACACAAATTTATAATTCTGGAAGTCAAGAGTCTAAAATGGCTTTCACAATCAAAGTATCAGGTCTGTGTGTTTTCCAGAGGCTCTAGAGGAGAATCCATTTCTTTGCCTTTTTCATCTTCTAGAAACTCGTGGCATCCCTTGCCTTGTGGCCCCCTTTTCCATCTTCAAAGCCAGCAGAGTAGCATCTTGAAATACCTCTCTGCTTCTGGAATGACACTGCATTCCCTGTCTGAACTTCCTGCTTCCCTCTTCTGAGTACCCTTGTGATGACATTGGGACCACCTGGATATTCCAAGAAACCTCCCACCACAATATCCCTAAATTAATCACATCTTCAAGGTCCCTTTTACCACGTAAAGTAATCCTCTTTAGGTTAGGATAAACTCTTTGAGAGCAAAGACTGTGTCTTGTCTTTATATTCTGAATCAGAGCCCCAAGCTCAGCCAGTAAAGCTCTACTACTGAGAAGTGCTTCTTTGGCTTGAAAGCCAGGCCATAGAGATATTTGCCTTCTTTGCAGCTGACTGACTCGTGTTCCAGAACAGTTGGGCTGTACACGAGGCCCTGTGAACTCTGGGCCCTGTGAATTCCAGGCTTACAGCTCCACATGGTGTGATGTATTCATGAGGTGTGATGTAGCATCTCAGCACATAGAGTGGCTTAGCATGATGTATCTACACAGAGAAAACCTACTAAAATACACCTGAACTCTCATATTTTCTGTTGGTAGCTATATAAATTATTGCAGTTTTTCTAGGGAATGGTTTGGCAACAGATTTGAACATTTTAATTGTGCATATCCTTTTTCCTTATGATTTCATTTCAAGGAACATTCCAACCTTTCTCTCCCACGGTGATGCCCACACATGGGCACAAAGATTATTTACACAATTATGTTCATTGTAGAAGTATCTATAGCAATGGATAATTGGAAACAATGTAAAAGTCTATCAGTATGGTACTAGTTATTAAATGATGGTATAGTAACAAAAAGGGGGTAGTAAGCAGACATTCAGACAAGAGGGAGGTTCATAAACTAGCATGGAAAATGTTCACAACATGTTGTTAAATTAAAAAAAACAAGTTGCATACAGTACATCTATAACTGTTTGGCTTTTGAAAACAAAATCATAATATACATATAATAATATATATATAATAGAAATATCTGGAAGTAAAGACGTTATCTCTTGGGTCTGTGATTTTGGAACGTTTTCACCTTCTCTGAGTATTTGAACATGATTTTACAGTTACGGTTTGCTTCTATTGTTGGAAAAAGGGAAAGAAACCTATTTCTGAAAAATACAGCAACAGATGCTACGTGAATCCTGCAAATGAGAGAGGTCAGTAATGGGCAGTTGGTTAGAGACCAAGGCATTTTTTTTTTTCCAGAGGAAATGGAAAGCCAAGAAGGAGGTGGTACCCCTTGTTAAATTTCCTGAAATCAACTGCTTTACATTTTCTCTCTCCTCCACAATGTGACAGTAGTCACATAAAAATGTTTCTTAGTGACATTAGGATGTCACAATTCTACTACTCTCTACATCTGACCCTTTTCAGTGTTTCTGCAGCTCGACAATAAGCTTAAGGAGATCTTCCAGAATTCCCAGGATGAGGAGGGAGAAAACATTCCTTATTGTTACTGAATTGCTAACTGTCCTATACCAGTTCGATCATTCACTTGAATCTGAGGTTTTTCTTAGTATGTTTGTTTATTTGTTTATTTGCTTTGTGAATAATGATAGATAATTTTGATAGGTAATATTTAGAAGTAGGTGAGATTAGTTGCCTCCTGACAAAGTCACTGCCAACAGTTCATACAATCTGAAATGCCAGCTCTCTGTCTTTCGTGTAATCTGACCATACTTTTTGTGGAGAAATCTCTAGATAGGACAATATTTGAGTGGCAGAAATCTGTAGCTCTGAAGGAAGAGCTGGCTCCCAAGACTTACAGGACTGTCACAAGGGCAAAGGCTTAGAGTTTCAAAGCAGCTTAGCAGAACCTAACAAAACACTGAAGAGAAAAAAGCTGGAGACACAGACATGCCTGGGTTCAAATATTGGCTGTCTCCATATGCTAATTTCGGTATGTTACATATTCACTTTTGCTTCCATTTATTTATCTGTAAGGCAAGGGTAATAAAAAAAAACATGCTATTGGAATTAAAGGAAATAATGCATATAACTGTACATAGTAGCCAATAGACAACATTCATTAAATATAAACTATTGTTGTCATTGTTTTGTGTGGTTCCAGGGGGAGAACTAGAATTTATCGGTGAGAATCAGAAATAGGAAAATAGTGAGACAACTCAAAAAAAGTTTTCTGGCAATTATAAGTATTATAAAAATAGATTAAGCTATCTTTTGCAGAAATAAATTCCCATCAAGGGCAGTATCCAAGAAGAAACTATCTGAGGTCTTATCAGAGATTTATTTATCTAAGGCTTCGGGAGTGTTTCCTGCTCAGGGTAGAAGACTGGATGTAGGGAGTTCTCTTCACTTCTCTGCAATACACAGATCCTATAATATTGGCCCATTTTCTTTCCTCGTAGGTATGGTTTAGATGTGATTATCCATGTGTAGTCACAGGAGGGTTCTCTTGTCTTTTACAGATTGAGAAGGCTGGTCTGTAGCGACCACTTTTTCTTCATTTCTAACTCTGTGCCCTTGTCCTGAAAACCAGTCAGGAGCCCTTCACAGCATCTGTATTTGTTACAAGTAGCATAAATCATTTTCTGCTTTCACATTTCTTCAGGCTCATACACATTTCACCAGTCGGACATTTCCCATTTCTTGATTTACGTCCATAGTCATAAACATCTTCAAACAACCCTAGCCCCATATTTGTTCTAAAAGATAGGTCTCTGTTGAAACAATAGGACCTTGGTTCTGGAATTAAAATTGCACCCTGGGCTATCTCTCTAGCTCTAGCTTTCTGTCATTTGTATTTTTATGCCATTTGATTCTTGCATAATTTTTGTGTATTTATCGGCCCCCCCTGGCTCCTTTTTTCCACCAGGAAAGGCTACATGCAGCTCTTTATTCTTGAGCCCCTCCACCTCCACCTCCACCCCCATCCCTGTACTATTGCTTTCTGTACAGAAATTGTTTGCTGACTTCACCCAGACTTAGATTCTGCCTTGTCTGGGCCTTACCTCTGACCTCTAGCTGTGCCTGCTCATCCTGTCCATTCCTTGGTTGTATTTCACCTCAGGATTCCCCTAACACCCAAAGCTGTCGCTTTGGGTGTAACTTTTACTGTAACTTTTAAACTTTTAAACTTTTAAACTTCTGTCGCTTTTACTGTAACTTTTAAAAAATTAG